AGACCCAGCTATCCTCTGAAGGATCATAGCCTTTCTAACGAATAAGAAGCTCCACGATGCCATTCTGACGACGGCGATGTGCAAGCACGGACTCGACCTCGTACTCGGGTTCATTCTAGACGAGGACGGGCGGAGGCGGCGGCGGTTGGCGTCCGACAAAGACCGTGTTCGGATCCCGATAGGGCTTCAGAAGTTGGACATGGAAGGCGTTGTGAATCTTCCTGGTAGCTGGTAGGCGTAAGCAGAAGGTAACAGGAGTGACTGTAAGAAATAGAGTTGAAAATATTAATTAGGTAAGGAGCCCAAGGCTCTATAAGTACATGGCAAGGTGGGAGTGAATGGATGAAGGGGGAATTGGAGGGAATCCCCATGGGGATCTCCGGAATCTCCAATTGGGTAATTGGAGATTGGGGGGATCACAATTGGGTGAGGTTGGGATTTGTGAGTACACCCCAACCCACTAGAACATTCATAACATAAACTAGGATATAAAAGTACAAATACAAAAGTGGTATTTGCAGTCTATTTCTAACACACCCCCATAGACTGCAAACCCGATCAAGGAGCACATAGCCCCATGGAACATAGAAGGCAATGGTGGTCAGCATTGCCGAGAGCCTTGGTAAAGAGGTCGGCGAGGTTGCAATCTGAGGCGATGTACCGTACCGTCAGCTGGTCACTCTGAACAAGATCTCGGATGAAGAAATGACGAAGTTCGATGTGCTTGGTGCGAGAGTGGAACACAGGATCCTTGGTGAGATGAATGGCACTCTGGTTGTCACACCACAGGGTGGGCGACTGCAGGGGGTAGCCTAACTCAGCGAGGAGAAAGGAGAGCCAGCGTGCCTCTTGAGCAGCCATTGTGCCCGCGTAGAGCTCGGCCTTGCAGGACGACAGTGTAAGAAATAGAGTTGAAATCATTGATTAGGTAAGGAGCCCAAGGCTCTATAAGTACATGGCAAGGTGAGAGAGAATGGATGAAGGGGGAATTGGAGGGAATCCCCATTGGGATCTCCGGAATCTCCAATTGGGTAATTGGATATTGTAGGGATCACAATTGGGTGAGGTTGGGATTTGTGAGTACACCCCAACCCACTAGAACATTCACAACCTAAACTAGGATATAAAAGTACAAATACAAAAGTGGTATTTGCAGTCTATTTCTAACACACCGCCATAGACTGCAAATCCGGTCAAGGAGCACATAGCCCCATGGAACGGAGAAGGCGATGGTGATCAGCCTTGCCGAGAGCCTTGGTAAAGAGGTCGGCGAGGTTGCAATCTGAGGCGATGTACCGTACCGTCAGCTGGTCACTCTGAACAAGATCTCGGATGAAGAAATGATGAAGTTCGATGTGCTTGGTGCGAGAGTGGAACACAGGATCCTTGGTGAGATGAATGGCACTCTGGTTGTCACACCACAGGGTGGGCGACTGCTGGGGGTAGCCTAACTCAGCGAGGAGAAAGGAGAGCCAGCGTGCCTCTTGAGCAGCCATTGTGCCCGCGTAGAGCTCGGCCTCGCAGGACGACAGGGAGACTGCAGAGGACCGAGTGGAGCGCCAGCTGATGACTCCGCTACCAAGGGTGAAGCAGTACCCTTGGGAGGAGCGTCTGTCAGTCTGGTCATCGGCCCATGAGGAGTCAGTGTATCCCTCGAGCTTGACTGGAGAGGTACCACCAAGAGTGACGATGAGAGACTTGGTGGCTTATAGATAGCGAAGGACCCTCTTGGCTGCAGACCAATGCGAGGCAGTGTAGCGTCCGGGGGAGACGTACTGAGAGAGGACACTAACCGGGTAAGCCAACTCTGGTCGAGTGCACATCATGGCATACATGAGTGAACCGACTAGCTCAGGGTACGGGTCCTTGCAGGCGTTAGGAGAAGGAACTGGAGGGGCCGTGAGCTGATGCTGTAGTGGGAGTGGAGTGGAGACAGAGTTACTGGAGTCCATGTCAAACCGCTTGAGAAGGTTGTCGATGTAGGACTCCTGGGAGAGGGTGATCGTGCAAGCCTGGCGGTCACGAGTGATCTCCATCCCCAGGTAGTTCTTGAGGTCACCAAGATCCTTCATGTGAAGGGCGGAGCTGAGAGCAGACTGGACAGCTGCCATGTCGGCTGGATCTCTGGCGGCTAGAATGAAGTCGTCGACGTAGACGAGGATGTAGAAGGGCTCGGAGGAGTGACGAACGAAGAGACTGGAATCTGAGGCAGAGGGATGGAAGTCAAGTGCAAGGAGGACTTCCTTCACCTTGTTGTGCCACTCACGAGGAGCCTGCTTGAGGCCATATACTGGGCGCTTCAGCTTCCACACTGTGTTGGCAGGGTACGTGCCAGGAAACCCTGGTGGGCGTTCCATGTGAACATCCTCCTTGAGCTGGCCTTGGAGAAAGGCGGAGGAGGCATCCATGGACTTGATCTCGAAGTTGCCGCGAGCGGCTATATTTAGAAGAGCGCGCACAGTCGGGAGCTTGGCCGTGGGCGAGAATGTTTCGAAGAAGTCGAGATACTCCTTCTGAGTGAAACCCTTTGTCACATATCGTGCCTTGAACAGTGGAGCTTTGCCTGGGAGTTGTTTGACTCGGAAGATCCATTTTCCGCCGACGATGTTGACACCGGAAGGGGGAACAACATCGTCAAAGCTGTTGTTGCGAATGAACGCCTCGTTCTCCACATCCATTGCTGCCTTCCACTCCTTCTTATAAGGCCCCGAGAGAGCTTCCTCTTTTGTGCGAGGAGTCGGAATGGTCGGGTTCTCGGTGAAGTTGAGGGAAGGGCAGTCAGTAATGTCCGAGAAGATGTGAGAGAGAAATTGGCAGACCGCGTGAAGGTCAAACAGCTCCTCATGCCTGTCCTCCAGAAGTGCACGGGGGGGAATACGGATGGAGGGGACATCACCCCCGGCAGGAGGAGGCGGGGTGACCGAACACCGGATGGAGAAGGCGGCTGGTCCCCAGGTGAGAGGCGGAGCCGGTCCCTTGGAACGAGTGCGACTAGAGACCGGAGACGAAGGCGGCTGCGGTGGGACCGGAGGGACTGGGCGCCTCCGATAGGAGACTGGTGAGCCGGGCTCGACGCGCGGGGAAGGCGGAGCAGGAGGAGGTGCCATTGCGGAGGATACTGGGGAGGCCGGGTGAGACACGCCGGACGGAGAAGGCCCCGGAGAAGGGGCAGCGGCCGGAGGTGGGGCATCGAAGTCTGCCCAAACAAGCATCGGGGGAGGTGGAGGAGGCTCGCCCGTGGTCGCAGAGTGGAATGGGCGTGTCTCATCGAAGACGACATCACGGCTGCAAATCAGCTGTCTAGTGATTGGGTTGAGGAATAAGTAGTCTGGGGAGTCGGAGTTGTGCCCCAGGTACATGCAGGTCTGGGTTTTGGGACCAAGCTTGCCACCTTGCTTCCTGCGCGTGTGGGGGCTTAGCAACACATACGCGGTACACCCCCAGACGCGTAGAGAGCGGGCGGAAGGCGTGACCCCAAGCCAGAGAGCGGTAGGTGTGGTGTCGGGCCGGTGGGGATGCGGATAAAGATTGTAGAGGAGTGCCGCATGGAAGAGGGCATATCCCCAGAGTGACCGTGGTGCATTGGCGTGACTGAGGAGGCAGCGAGCGATCTGAACCAAGGTGTGGTTGCGGCTCTCTGCAATGCCGTTCTGCTGCGGGCTTTCGAGGAGCGTGAAGGTTTGCCGAATGCCTTGGGCCGCACAGAAGTTATCGAGTTTGCCATTGCGAAATTCTCCCCCGCCATCAGAATGGAGGCACTTAAGAGGAGTGCCGAACGTGACTTGAGCCTGGCGCACCCACGTCATGATGACATCAGGTGCCTCCGCCTTGGTATGCAGGAGGTGCACAGAAACATACCGCGAGTGGTCATCGACTAGTGTAAGAAAGTACCGATGACCGCCTCGGGATGCGACTGGAGCTGGGCCCCAGACATCCATGTGCACTAGGTCCAGCGGAGCAGCTGCGACGGATGGGGAGGAAGGATGCGGCTGCTGCCTGAGCTTGCTCTTGGTGCAGTCCAGGCAGGTGGGTGCAGGTGAGTCTGTTGGTGGAGGAAGCGCCAACGGGAGGCCAAGAAGAAGTTTCTTGGAAGCGATGTCGGCAAGTGTACGGAAGTTGGGGTGACCCAAGCGATGGTGGTAGAGGATGGTTGGGTTGGCGAAGCTGCGACACGAACACGGAGTGGTGCTGGCAGCTTGCGCTTGGGAGAGAGCGGCAACCACACCTTGGTTCAGATCGCTCGCTGCCTCAGTCACGCCAATGCACCACGGTCACTTTGGGGATATGCCCTCTTCCATGTGGCACTCCTCTACAATCTTTATCTGCATCCCCACCGGCCCGACACCACACCTACCGCTCTCTGGCTTGGGGTCACGCCTTCCGCCCGCTCTCTGCGCGTCTGGGGGTGTACCGCGTATGTGTTGCTAAGCCCCCACACGCGCAGGAAGCAAGGTGGCAAGCTCTACGTGTGCGGATAGGTCGCTCTGATACCATGTAAGAAATAGAGTTGAAAATATTAATTTGGTAAGGAGCCCAAGGCTCTATAAGTACATGGCAAGGTGAGAGTGAATGGATGAAGGGGGAATTGGAGGGAATCCCCATGGGGATCTCCGGATCTCCAATTGGGTAATTGGAGATTGGGGGGATCACAATTGGGTGAGGTTGGGATTTGTGAGTACACCCCAACCCACTAGAACATTCATAACCTAAACTAGGATATAAAAGTACAAATACAAAAGTGGTATTTGGAGTCTATTTCTAACAGTGACCTGTGCTTCAACGAGGAAAGGCCCGCAGAAGCGAGGTCGCAGTTTGGATGGGAGATGGCTGCTGTTGAGATTGCGTGTGTCGAGTAGGACTTGATCTCCCACGGTGATGGAGTGGTCTGTGCGATGGCGATCGGCCTGGCGCTTCTGTTGTTGCTGAATGTCGAGAAGGTGCTTGTGGGTCCGATCCCAAAGTTTGTGCATAGTCGTGATGAAATCATGAGCGGGTTGGACTGTGGCTGGTATGTTTGGCTGTTGAGGTGTGAGTGTGTGGCATCCGTAGCAGAGGAAAAACGGCCTCTGTCCAGTAGCGGCGTGAGTAGCGTTGTTGTAGGCCAACTCCAAGACGGGCAGATGCAAGTCCCATTTGGAGATGTCATCCTTGCAGGCTGCGCGGAGGAGTTGCTCCACAATTTGGTTGAGGCGCTCGGTCTGTCCATCTGTTTGCTGATGGTAGGCGGATGACATGGCGAGTTTGGTCCCGAGCAGAGACATTAGTTCTTTCCAGAATTTACTGGTGAACTTAGGGTCTCGGTCGGAGATGAGCTTGGTTGGAATGCCATGTTGTGAGATGATGTAGCGAACAAAGAGTTGTGCCGTCTCCTCGGTGCGTGCTGTCGTGTGTGTCGGGATGAAGTGTCCCATTTTGTAGAACTTGTCAATGACGACGAGGATCGCGTCATGACCGCTTGTGGTAGTTGGTAGCCTGGTGATGAAGTCTAGGCTGACCACTTGCCATGGCTATTCCGGGACAGGAAGAGGCTGTAGTAGACCCACCCTTTTCTGTTTGCTGCTCTTCATCCGTTGACATGTAGTGCATGAGGTGACGAATTTCTGTACGTCGTCTGCCATGTGGGGCCAGTAGTAGTGTTTGGCGATACCGGTGAGCATCTTGTTGCTACCGAAGTGTCCCGCGTAGAGGACGTCTTGGTATTCTTCGAGTAGTAACTGACGCAATGGAGGGTAGTTAGGTACCCAGATCTTTGTTGATCCTTTCCGGTACGCGATGTCGTTGTCCCACTGTAGCAGATGTCGCTTTTCTGCCAAGGGAATTTCGGGGTCGATGGTGTACCCGTGTGTGAAGAGTCCCTTGAGCAGGGGATTCATCCCGTCAATTTGGATAGCGGCAACGTGTGCAGGCCGGCTAAGGGCGTTCTCTTTGTTTTTATGGCCAGGCTTGTACACGATGTCGTAGTGTAAGTGCGTCTCGAGGAAGTCAATCCACCGGACCTGCCGCCTGGAGAGATTTGGTTGTGTCTTCAAATATTTCAGGCTGCAGTGGTCGGTGTAGACTGTTGACTTGCGTCCTTCGCGATAGCATGTCCACGTTTTGAAGGCGAGGATAATAGCCAGGGCCTCTTTGTCGTGTATCGGATAGTTTAGTTCTGCCCCGTGCAGTTTCTTGCCGAGATAGGTGATTGTTTGCAGTCCATTCCCCTGGTCTTGCATCAAGACTGCTCCCACTGCTTGGTCGTTGGCGTCAGCTTCGATGACGTATTCGCGTTCGGGGTCTGGCAAGATCAGTACTGGTGCGGACGTGAGTGCTTGCTTCAGCTGCTCCACGGCTTCCTGGTGTTTCGACTCCCATTTGTAGGGCGTGTTCTTCTTCAGCAGATTCGTGAGTGGTGCTGCGATTTTCGCGTATTGTGGCACGAACCTGTTGTAGTAGTTAGCGAAGCCTAGGAACGGTTGTAACTCCTTCACGTTCTCAGGTATCTTCCACGTACGTACGGCTTCGATTTTCTTGGGATCGACGTGAACTCCTTGAGCGCTCACCATGTGCCCTAGGAATTGGACCTTCTCAAGGGCGAATTCGCTCTTGGACAATTTGACGTAGAACCGTTCCCGCCGAAGAATTTCGAAGATGTGTCGCAGGTGTTCGACATGCTGCTTCATGTCGCGCGAGTAGATGAGGATGTCCTCCAGGTATACTACCACGCACTCGTCCAAAAGTGGGCGTAGGATGTGGTTCATCTCAGATTGGAATGTTGCCGGTGCGTTGGTGAGTCCGAACGGCATGACCAAATACTCGTACGATCCGTACCGAGTTCGGAAAGCAGTTTTGTGGATAGAGTTGTCCGCCATTCATATCTGCCAAATCCAGTTTGAAAACTACCGTAGCTCCCTGAAGCGGGTCAAGCAGGTCATCGATTCGTGGTATCGGATACTTATTCTTGATGGTCTGCTTGTTAAGAGCTCGGTAGTCGATGCACATACGCAGGCTTCTGTCCGGTTTCGGTGTGAAGAGTACTGGGGCACCGTATGGCGAAGTGGATGGTCGGATGAGTCCTTTGGCTAGGAGATAATCGATCTATTTTTTCATGTTGGTCAGCTCCATAGGGCTTCATGTTGAGCCGATATGGTGCTCGGAAGGTCAGCTTCGAACCCGGTTCCTCGACGATCTCGTGTTGATGCGTGCGGTATGGCGGTAGCTCGTTCGGAAGATCATCAGGGAGAATGTCTTGAAACTCCGTCAGTAATTCCTTGATTTTTCCTGGAGGTTCCGAGGTCTTCTCTCCGTCGGTTTCCACCTCTGTTGCTTTCGCCAGGAATCCGGTGTTGGTTCGCTTGACGTCCTTCTCGAATCTAGTGAGTGTCTCCACTGGGATATCTCTTGTATCATCCCAGTTGGGTACCTGGACTCTCCTTCCTTTGTTGTAGATGCTTGCGGTGCGGTTTACCTAGTTGATCTCGGGGTTGAATCGTTTTAGGAAGTCTCGCCCGAAGATCAGATCAAGCCCTTTTATGTTGGTGATGGGGAGTGCAGGTCTCCAGTGTAATGGTCCGATTTGTAGGTGTAACACTGCTTCGCCGTACACTGGTAACTTGCCGCCATCCACCATCGTTGCAGAAAACGCTGATGGCTTGTACTCTTCTCGAAGTCGGTCGATTACTGCCTTGTCGCATGCGGTGTGTGATGCACCGTTGTCCACAAGTGCTTGGAGGCATCGTCCTTTGCAGATGACCTCGAGCACGAGGGGCAGGCGTTGCTCGGAGTACCCAAAAATAGTTTCATTGATTGGGTCATAGGGTACATCCCAATAGTCGTTGCTTCCTACTCCTGAGCTGGCAGCTGGCCGAGGCTGCTTGGAGAAAGGCTCTTCTCCAGGGCCCCGGAGTTTCCTTGACGACTGTTCGTGTCGTTGACGAAGTTGCCGAGTTGGATGCATCTCAAGACGAAGGAATTCGAGGTTTTTGCAGCGTCTTGTAGACCCCCAGCTTCCTTTTGAGCTGCTTCAGCTCCACCGACGTCTTCCCTGGGGAACGGGTAGTCGCTGTGGGCTGGTGTCGAGAGAGGACGTTGACTCCGTGGAAAGGTCGGCTTCTTTCCACACTCCTTAATTTGGTCCCCAAGTTGTCCGGTACCGGTATGATCTCCACAATTTTTTGCTTCTTCTGGAGTCCCTCCTGTATTTTCTCCAAGGCTCTAGCCCCTCGAGAATTACAAGTTTTCTTTAAAGCATCTTTACAATATCACTTTAACGAATCCTTATAATTTCTTGGGTCTTCAAGGAGTTTCCCCGTCTCGGCAGAGTCCTTTTTCGCGGAGTTAGATTTTTCCTCGGCGATTTTCCCTGGCGAAGACTGGTTGTGGGGTGGAGATTTTCCCCCATCATTTCCTCCTGGTCGCGTCGAATCAGCTTCGTCGAAGTTGATTTTCCCGGAATCCCTCGGCCGTTTCCGGATCTTTTCTTTTTCGCCAGCTAGATCCGCAATCACTGGCGAATCCCGTTTTTTGTCTTCTGATTGGTTGAAGGATTTCCGCCACTGTTGCGTGCCCGATACTCTGCGAGTGCGGCTTTCATTTTGTTGCAGTCGAAGATTCGATGACCCGGCACCCCGCAGAAATCACACGTGAAGTTGGTGTTTTTCGGACGTGGCTGCCCTTCGAACCTGTCGACTTCCATCGGGTCGGCGAACGTGGTGTGAGTCGAGCGGTCGCCCTGTCGCGTACTGGAGACATGCGTCCGTCGTGTCCCGGCGTTGACCATGTCGAAGCGTTCCGCGGCCGATACGACGTCACTATAGCTCGCGTAGTTTGACACTGCCACTTGTCGTTTGACTTCGGTCTTCAGCCTGGCGAGGTAAGACTGTATCTTTTCCCCTTCGGTCAGGTCGGGAATTCGGTTATAAAATTATTCCATTTGCTGCGTGTACTGTGCTACACTCCCGAACTGTCGATGTCGATGAATTTTTTCCCGGGCAAGGAAACCCGAATTTATCGGCTCAAAACGTTTGAGCAGGTTGGTACGGAACTGCTGTCACGTGGCTTCACCGTGGATGAAGGTGCTGTTACCGCCGATCCACTCGAGTGCCGGTCCTTGCATCAGTGTCGCCGCGAGTCGTACGCGTTGACCGTCCTAGACTGGCGAGCTCCATCCGACGGCTGCAAAGTAGATCTCCATGCCGGCGATCCATCTGCAGACGTCGGAGTTTCGATCGATCGGATCGAACGGCTCAGGTGGGCGAAGGTTTCAGAGCCTCGAGAAACTACTGCGACTGCTGCGTCGTTGCCGTTGTCATTTCGTATTGCGCTCTGGCGAGTCGAGTTACTCGCTCGAACTCGATGCTCGCGAAGAGCTGCTGGGTAACCTCGGCGTTGTCGAAGGTTGCCATCCTGTTCAAAACACGCGCGGGGGGTGGTAATTCACAAAACGCGGAGCTGGTGCTTACCAGAATCGGCGTCGAATTGGTCGCCCCCGGCGGTTTTTCGAGGCAGGTTTTCCAGCTGCTGCTGCTTTGTTGAGCGCGGCCGAGTGAGAAAAGCTCTGATTACCAAGTGTTACAGGATCGAATGTCTCGAGAAAAGGTTGCACTATCGATTGATACAGGGCGCTTTTATACTTCCAGAGTACATCAGGTAACCAAGTTTATCCTATCCAAAGGAATAGTCCCTTCTAGAAAATAGAATCACCCTGCGTATAGCCACGCGAGGCTATTGGCTTTGAGGGATTACGGTAGGATTACGCTAGATAGAGCGCGCCAGTACATCCCGAGCCTGGTCGGTGATATAACGATAATAACAGGATAAACCAAAGGTTAATGGAAAAGGAGAAATAGGAATCCAAATGGAATGAGATCAAAACCAAATGGATCAGGATAAAAAGAGGAATGGAATGGAAAGGGAATATGGAAAGGAGAGAGGAATGGAACGGGGTCGTACTCTCACACGCGCCAACAGCAAGCACGCTAACAGCAAGCATGCCAACAGCAAGTACGCCAACAGCATGCGCGCCAATAGCTGTCAGAAAGCGCTCCGACAGCAAGAGCGCCGACAGCAAGCGCGCCGACAGCAAGCGCGCCGACATCAAGCTCCCTGACAACAAGCGCACCGACAGCAAGCGCGCCCACAGCAAGCGCGCCGACAGCAAGCGCGCCAACAGCAAGCGCGCCAACTGCAAGCGCGACAACAGCATGTGCGCCAACGGACAAGAGCAAGCGCACCGACAGCAAACGCACCGACATCAACCGCGCTGACAGCAAGCCCGCCGACAGCAAGGGCGCCAACAGCAAGGGCGCGGACAGGCAAGCGCGCCAATAGCAAGCGCGCCAACAACAAACGCGCCAACAGCAAGCTCGCCCACAGCAAGTGCGCCGACAGCAATGTGTCCCCACAGCAAGCGCGCCAACAGCAAGCGTGCCAACAGCAAGTGCGCCAACAGCAAGTGAACCAAGAGCAAGTGTGCAAACAGCATGCATGCCAACAGAGAGCGCACCAACAGCGAGCAGGCCAACAGCGAGCGCGCCAACAGCGAGCGCGCCAACAGCGAGCGCGCCAACAGCAAGCGCACCAGCATGGAGCGCGCCAATAGCCAGCACGCTAATAGCAAGCGCGCCGACAGCAAGCGCGCCGACAGCAAGCGCTCCGACAACAAGCGCGCCCACAGCAAGCGCGCCGACAGCAAGCCCGCCGACAGCAAGGGCGCCAACAGAAAGGGCGCCGACAGCATGCGCGCCAACAGCAAGCGTGCCGACACCAAACGCGCCGACAGAAAGCGCGCCCACAACAAGTGCGCCGACAGCAAACGCGTCCCCACAGCAAATGCTCCAACAGCAAGCGTGCCAACAGCAAGCGCGCCAACAGCAAGCATGCCAACAGCAAGTGTGCCAACAGCATGCACGCTTACGAACAAGAGCAAGTGCACCGACAGCAAACATGCCGACAGCAAGCGCGCCGACAGCAAGCGCGCTGACAGCAAGCCCGCCGACAGCAAGGGCACAAACAGCAAGGGTGCCGACAGCGAGCGCGCCAACAATAATTGCGCCAACAGCAAGCGCGCCGACAGCAAACAAGCCAACAGCAAGCGCGCCCACAGCAAGCGCGCCGACAGCAACTGGCCGACAGCAAGCCCGCTGACAGCAAGGGCACCAACAGCAAGGGCGCCGACAGGAAGCGCTCCAACAATAAGCGCGCCAACAGCAAGCGCGCCGACAGCAAGCGAGCCAACAGCAAGCGCGCCCACAGCAAGTATGCCGACAGCAAACGCGTCCCCACAGCAAGCGCGCCAACAGCAAGCGTGCCAACAGCATTGGCGCCAACAGCAAGGGTGCCAACAGCGAGGGCGCCAACTGCGAGGACGCCAACAGCGAGGGCGCCAACAGCGAGGGCGCCAACAGCGAGCGCACCAACAGCGAGCACGCCAACAGCGAGCACGCCAACAGCGAGCGTGCCAACAGCGAGCGCGCCAACAGCGAGCGCGCCAACAGCGAGCGCGCCATTAGCGAGCACGCCAACAGCGAGCACGCCAACAGCAAGTGTGCCAACAACATGCATGCCAACAGAGAGCGCGCCAATAGCGAACAGGCCAACAGCCAGCACGCCAACAGCAAGCGCGCCCACAGCACGCGCACCGACAGCAAGCGCGCCCACAGCCGGCGCGCGGACAGCGAGTGCGCCCACAGCAAGCGTGCCCACAGCAAGCGCACCAACAGCAAGCGCGCCAACAGCAAGTACACCAACAGCATGCGCGCCAGCAGCCATCACCAAGCGCGCCGACAGCAAGAGCGCCGACAGCAAGCGCGCCGACAGCAAGCGCGCCGACAGCAAGCGCGCCGATAGCAAGCGCGCTGACATCAAGCTCACTGACAGCAAGCGCACCGACAAGAAGCGCGCCCACAGCAAGCGCGCTGGCAGCAAGCGTGCCAACTGCAAGCGCGCCAACAGCATGCGCGCCAACAGCAAGGGCACCAACAGCAAGCGGGCGAAAAGCAAGTGCGCCAACAGCATGCGCGCGGACTGCCAACAGCAAGCGCACCGACAGGAAACGCGCCGACAGCAAAAGTGCCGACAGCAAGCCCGCCGTCAGCAAGGGCGCCAACAGCATGCGCGCCAACAGCAAGCGTGCCGACACCAAAATGCGCTGATAGCAAGCGCACCCACAACAAGTATGCCTGTTAGAAACAGAAAGGTTCAGTTTATTGATGAAGGAAAGGCATTACATAGGAAGAGAGAGATGAGCTAGGAAGGGAAGGTTGGAAGGGAAGGGGGGGTTAGGACCAATCACAAGGGAGGGAGGCTCCTTCCAAATGTGGTTGACCACCAGTTGGAGGTGGTCCAAGTGTGGTGTACCACCAGTGGTTTCGCCAACCTACTTGTGGTGCCCCCACAATTGTGGTCCTTGTGTTTGGGGGCTCCAACCACAATTGGGTTGGATTGACACCCCAACACAGGTGTACACCCAACTAGGGATGTAAACACAATATACACAACTAGCATAGCATGGTATATTCTAACAATGCCGACAGCAAACGCGTCCCCACAGCAAGCGCACTAACAGCAAGCCCTAACCCTAACCCTTCCCCTTCCCGCCAAGGGCACCGGTACCTGCTTGTCCTAGTCGACGACCACAGCAGGTACTCCTCGGTGTTCCTCCTCCACACGAAGGCCGAGGCCCCTGCTGTCATCGTTACCTGGGCCGAGCAGTGCCGAGTCCACTTTGGTCGCCCCATCCGCCGCCTCCATTCCGACGGCGGTGGTGAGTTTCTCAACCGCACCCTCTCCTCCTACTGCTCAACCCATGGCATCCAGCAGACTCATACCCTTCCCCACTCCCCTCAGCAGAACGGTGTTGCTGAGAGTCGCATTCGTGAGATCACCAAGACGGCCCGCTGCCTCCTCACTCATGCCTCCACGCCCCCTTCTCTTTGGGGCTATGCCCTTGTCCATGCTGCTCTCCTTACTAATCTTTACCCACATCCTCAACGCCAGTCTGTTACTCCCACTGAGCTCTGGGCTAGCACCAAGCCAGATGCTGCCATTCTCCGTATCTGGGGTTGCAAGGCATATGTCCTCATCCCCCCACCTGACCGCTCTCGGCAGGCAAGAAAGCTCGCCTCCAAGGCCATTGAGTGTGTCTACCTTGGCCACGCTCGCTCTGCCCCTGGTTACCTCTTCCTTCACCCGTCCTCAGGCCGCCTCCTACAGAGCCGTGACGTGGTGTTCGATGAGAGCATCCCGTTCTATCATTCTGTTCCGCCTTCCGACCCCCTTCCTCCTCTCTCCCGCCCCCTCACCTGGGCTGATGCTGTCATTCCCCCACTCCTTCCCCAGGCTCCCCTCCTTCCTCCAAATCCTGCTCCTCCCCCTCCTCCTTCCTCAGGTGACATTTACGACCCAGCTGTCCCTGACTCCCCTGCTCACTCTGCCTCATCGCACCAGCACCAGCACCAGCAGCAGCAGCAGCAGCAGCAGCAGCAGCAGCAGCAGCAGCAGCAGCAGCAGCAGCAGCAGCAGCAGCAGCAGAAGGAGCAGCAGCAGCAGCAGCAACAGCAGCAGCAGCAGGTGCAGCAGCAGCAGCGGATGGAGCAGCAGCAGCAGCAGCAGCAGCAGCAGCAGCAGCAGCAGGAGGTGCAGCAGCGGATGGAGCAGCAGCAGCAACCGCAGGCAGTGCAGCAACAGCAGCCGCAGCAGGAGGTGCAGCAGCAGCACCAGCAGCAGCCACAGCAGCAGCAGCAGCAGCAGCAGCAGTAGCAGCAGCCACTGCAGCAACCTCATCGGCATCGCCGCACCACCTCTCCGTTCATCCTCCCACGCATCCACACTCGCTCTCACGGCCCACTCATAGGCCATCCATGGGGTTGGCCAACACCACCCCCACCCTCCCTTCCCTTCATTGAGGACTCCCATGAGGAGCTCATTGGCGTTCAGCAACAAACACCTTCCCTCACGCCTCTCTACCCGGGCTTCCTTGGCCTCCTCATCCTTGGCATCGCTACCGCTCCCACCAGATTCACTCCGTCCAACTTCCTTGAGGCCATCACCTGCCCCGATGCTGCCAAGTGGATCCAGGCTATCTTTGCTGAATGCGAGGCCTTCATCCGCAATGCCTCATTCGTTAACATTGTCCCCTCTCCTGACGACGTCATTGTTGAAGGCCTCTGGGTGTTCCGAGTGAAGCAGCTGCCGGGTGAGGAGCCGGTCTACAAGGCCCGGTATTGTGCCAAGGGCTTCACCCAAACCCATGGCATCGACTACTGGGAGACATTCTCTCCCACTGCCAAGCTCCCAACTCTCCGTGCCATCCTCGACTATGCTGTTCGCATTGGCATGGAGATTGCCTCCATGGATGTCTCCAACGCCTTCCTGCAAGGCGAGCTCCAGGAGCGGGTCCTCTTGCGGCGGCCTCCAGGCTTTCATGCAGCCTTCCCTGCCAACACAGTCTGGGAGCTGCGCCGCCCGGTTTATGGCCTCAAGCAGGCTCCTCGCGAGTGGCACAACAAGCTGGCCGCCACTCTGCAGTCCTTGGGGTTCCATGCCTCTCAGTCTGATGCCAGCCTTTTCCTTCGCTCCTCTCCCACCCGCTTCTTCATCCTGGTGTATGTCGACGACATGATCCTGTTCGCTGACGATGCTGCCGCCATGCAGCAAGTGAAGGACGCCCTGCATGCGCGCCTCAAGTGCAAGGACCTGGGTGAGCTCAAGCACTATCTGGGCATGACCATCACCCGGGACCGCACATCGCGCACCATTACCCTCTCTCAGTCCTTCTACATCGACCAAGTCTTGCAGCGGTTCGACATGGCGCAGGCCAAGCCGGTTACCACTCCCCTGCAGACCGACCACCAGCTTGCCCCTCCTCCTGCTCCCTCCTCCTCTGACCATCCTTACGCTGAGCTCGTCGGCTCACTGATGTATGCTATGATGTGCACCCGCCCCGACCTTGCCTACCCCATCAGTGTTCTTGCTCGATTCGTCGGTACCGGTCGCCACACTGATGAGCACTGGGCTGCAGCGAAGCGGGTCCTCCGCTACCTCCGTGGTACCAAGGACTATGTCCTCACCCTCGGAGGCTCTTCTCCTCCCCTCCTCTCTGGCTTCAGTGACTCCTCCTGGGCTGACTCCCAGCCGGATCGCCGTTCCTCTCAAGGCTACGGCTTCACCCTTGGCAGCGGCCTCATCAGCTGGCGCTCCACTCGCTCCTCCTCCATCGCCCTCTCATCCTGCGAGGCTGAGCTCTATGCTTGCACCATGGCCGCTCAGGAGGCTCGCTGGCTCACCTTCCTCCTTGCTGAGATCGGTGCTCCTCAGCGCTGTCCCACCCTCTGGTGCGACAACGCCAGCACCATCCATCTCACAAAGGACCCTGTCTTCCATGGCCGCTCCAAGCACATTGAACTCCGCTACTTCTTCGTTCGAGAGTTGGTCCAGCAAGGTCACTTGGTGGTCCGCAAGATCGCTGCAGAGGCCAACTTGGCCGACATCTTCACCAAGGCCCTCCCGAAGACCGCGCACTCTGCCCTCCTCCGCCTTCTCGGCCTTGGGCCCCGCCCCCCTTCCTGATTCTGGGGTTGTACCCTACATATACACTAGCTTTGCATGCTATGGGGTTGTGTTAGAATATACCATGCTATGCTAGTTGTGTATATTGTGTTTACATCCCTAGTTGGGTGTACACCTGTGTTGGGGTGTCAATCCAACCCAATTGGGGTTGGAGCCCCCAAACACAAGGACCACAATTGTGGGGGCACCACAAGTGGGTTGGCTAAACCACTGGTGGTACACCACACTTGGACCACCTCCAACTGGTGGTCAACCACATTTGGAAGGATCCTCCCTCCCTTGTGATTGGTCCTAACCCCCCCTTCCCTTCCAACCTTCCCTTCCTAGCTCATCTCTCTCTTCCTATGTAATGCCGGTCGGGGAGCTACGGTAGTTTTCAAACTGAACCTTTCTGTTTCTAACAAACTCCACCGAGTCCCAAAACCCCCAGCTTGCAGTCACACAGCCGCGTCGTGGCGGGCGCCCACGTGGCGGCCGCACCAACCCTCAGGGAGGGGGTGGAGGTGGCGGTTGTGGGGGCAGCGGAGCCGGCGGCGGTGGTGGCGGGGTCGAGGGTGGCAGCAGTGGTGGTGGTGGAGGCAGTGGTGGCTCATCTGGTAGCCGTGGTGGCCGGACTGGCACTCTCCCCCCATATTCCTATCTTCGCCGTTTTGGTCCCAGGGCGGGTGAGCGCTGCACCCAAACCAACCATCCCCCCGCGACCTGCTTCAAGGCGTATGATGACGCCTGGTTCGAGCGCGGCAACACTGGCACACCCCCACGCTGGTCTGCCATGGATCTCCGCCCCTCTCTCCAGGATGTCAAAACTCTTCCGTCCTACCTCCCCTCTCATCTTCAGCTCTCCTCCTCCTCCTCCTCTGTCGCTGACCCCATAACTCCCCAGGAGCTGCAGCAGTTTCGCCGCTTCCAGCAGCTGCAGCTGCACCAGCAGCAGCAGCAGTGGGGCTCTGGTGGTCAGGCTGCAGCCGCAGCTGCAGGAGCCGCAGCCGCAGCATCTGCATGGCAGCAGCAGCAGCTTGGCTTTGGCACCGCCGCCATGGCTGCCACAGCCACACCAGGTCCTCCTGGCTTTCCCCTCTGGGGCTCTCCTTCCCCTAGTGCTCCCGCCTCCCACTCCAGCTTTCTAGGCGAGCTCATGCGTTCTTCCCCTGCTTCCACTTCCATGTATCCCTCTGTTTTTAATGCCAGTGATTTCCAGTACCCCGTGTCTTCAGCTCCCTCCTTGCTCACGATTGACTTTGTTCTCGATAGTGGTGCCACTGAAACTGCCCTCAAAGACGCCGGCACCCTCACCTCCCTCCCTTTCCCCACCAACGTTCATGGTGCTGATTCCAGCTTCTCCATCCCTTGCACTCATCTCTCCACCCTCCCCTGCCCCCCCTTCCCCTCTGGAGTGGTCACTGGTCTCCACATTCCCTCCCTTCGTCATAACCTGCTCTCCATTCGAGAACTCCAACAGGCTGGCATCACTACCCTCTTCCCCGCCTCTGCCACCTACTGTGACCTCCTCCACGGCCCCACTCGCCGCCTCCTTCATCGCCTCCCACTTTGCCCTCGCTCTCGTCAGTACATCCTCCGCACACCCCGCCCCTCCTCATGCCACGTGACCACTCGTGCAGGCACCTCCACTCTCCCCCCTCCCCTCCCTCTGGAGCCACCTTCCTCCAACTCCACCTCCTCCCCATGCTCTTGTCGCGCACTGTCCCACCCCGCTGTTCTCATCCACCACCGCCTTGGTCATATGAACTTTCCCACACTTCGTAAAGCCGTCTCCTCCCGCTTGCTTGACGGTCTTCCCCCCACTCTTCCTCCCCTCCCGTCCTCTTCCGCTCCCCCATGCGCCACATGCAGTCATGGAAAGCTCAAACAACAGCCTCACCTCAGTCATCCTTCCTTTGCTGCTGCCCCCCTTGACCTCGTCCACATGGACCTCTGGGGCCCTAACCCTTCCCCTTCCTGCCAAGGGCACCGGTACATGCTTGTCCTAGTCGACGACCACAGCAGGTACTCCTCGGTGTTCCTCCTCCACACGAAGGTCGAGGCCCCTGCTGTCATCGTTACCTGGGCTGAGCAGTGCCGAGTCCGCTTTGGTCACCCCATCCGCCGCCTCCATTCTGACGGCGGTGGTGAGTTTCTCAACCGCACCCTCTCCTCCTACTGCTCAACCCATGGCATCCAGCAGACTCATACCCTTCCCCACTCCCCTCAGTAGAACGGTGTTGCTGAGAGTCGCATTCGTGAGATCACCAAGACGGCCCGCTGCCTCCTCACTCATGCCTCCACGCCCCCTTCTCTTTGGGGCTATGCCCTTGTCCATGCTGCTCTCCTTACTAATCTTTACCCACATCCTCAACGCCAGTCTGTCACTCCCACTGAGCTCTGGGCTAGCACCAAGCCAGATGCTGCCATTCTCCGTATCTGGGGTTGCAAGGCATATGTCCTCATCCCCCCACCTGACCGCTCTCGGCAGGCAGGAAAGCTCGCCTCCAAGGCCATTGAGTGTGTCTACCTTGGCCACGCTCGCTCTGCCTCTGGTTACCTCTTCCTTCACCCGTCCTCAGGCCGCCTCCTACAGAGCCGTGACGTGGTGTTCGATGAGAGCATCCCGTTCTATCAGTCTGTTCCGCCTTCCGACCCCCTTCCTCCTCTTTCCCGCCCCCTCACCTGGGCTGATGCTGTCATTCCCCCACTCCTTCCCCAGGCTCCCCTCCTTCCTCCAAATCCTGCTCCTCCCCCTCCTCCTTCCTCAGGTGACATTTACGACCCAGCTGTCCCTGACTCCCCTGCTCACTCTGCCTCATCGCACCAGCACCAGCACCAGCAGCAGCAGCAGCAGCAGCAGCAGCAGCAGCAGCAGCAGCAGCAGCAGCAGCAGCAGCAGCAGAAGGAGCAGCAGCAGCAGCAGCAGCAGCAACAGCAGCAGCAGCAGGTGCAGCAGCAGCAGCGGATGGAGCAGCAGCAGCAGCAGCAGCAGCAGCAGCAGCAGTAGCAGCAGCAGCAGCAGGAGGTGCAGCAGCGGATGGAGCAGCAGCAGCAGCAGCAGCAGCAACCGCAGGCAGTGCAGCAACAGCAGCCGCAGCAGGAGGTGCAGCAGCAGCACCAGCAGCAGCCACAGCAGCAGCAGCAGCAGCAGCAGCAGCCACTGCAGCAACCTCATCGGCATCGCCGCACCACCTCTCCGTTCATCCTCCCACGCATCCACACTCGCTCTCACGGCCCACTCATAGGCCATCCATGGGGTCGGCCAACACCACCCCCACCCTCCCTTCCCTTCATTGAGGACTCCCATGAGGAGCTCATTGGCGTTCAGCAACAAACACCTTCCCTCACGCCTCTCTACCCGGGCTTCCTTGGCCTCCTCATCCTTGGCATCGCTACCGCTCCCACCAGATCCACTCCATCCAACTTCCTTGAGGCCATCACCTGCCCCGATGCTGCCAAGTGGATCTAGGCTATCTTTGCTGAATGCGAGGCCTTCATCCGCAATGCCTCATTCGTTAACATTGTCCCCTCTCCTGACGACGTCATTGTTGAAGGCCTCTGGGTGTTCCGAGTGAAGCAGCTGCCGGGTGAGGAGCCGGTCTACAAGGCCCGGTATTGTGCCAAGGGCTTCACCCAAACCCATGGCATCGACTACTGGGAGACATTCTCTCCCACTGCCAAGCTCCCAACTCTCCGTGCCATCCTCGACTATGCTGTTCGCATTGGCATGGAGATTGCCTCCATGGATGTCTCCAACGCCTTCCTGCAAGGCGAGCTCCAGGAGCGGGTCCTCTTGCGGCGGCCTCCAGGCTTTCATGCAGCCTTCCCTGCCAACACAGTCTGGGAGCTGCGCCGCCCGGTTTATGGCCTCAAGCAGGCTCCTCGCGAGTGGCACAACAAGCTGGCCGCCACTCTGCAGTCCTTGGGGTTCCATGCCTCTCAGTCTGATGCCAGCCTTTTCCTTCGCTCCTCTCCCACCCGCTTCTTCATCCTGGTGTATGTCGACGACATGATCCTGTTCGCTGACGATGCTGCCGCCATGCAGCAAGTGAAGGACGCCCTGCATGCGCGCCTCAAGTGCAAGGACCTGGGTGAGCTCAAGCACTATCTGGGCATGACCATCACCCGGGACCGCACATCGCGCACCATTACCCTCTCTCAGTCCTTCTACATCGACCAAGTCTTGCAGCGGTTCGACATGGCGCAGGCCAAGCCGGTTACCACTCCCCTGCAGACCGACCACCAGCTTGCCCCTCCTCCTGCTCCCTCCTCCTCTGACCATCCTTACGCTGAGCTCGTCGGCTCGCTGATGTACGCTATGATGTGCACCCGCCCCGACCTTGCCTACCCCATCAGTGTTCTTGCTCGATTCGTCGGTACCGGTCGCCACACTGATGAGCACTGGGCTGCAGCGAAGCGGGTCCTCCGCTACCTCCGTGGTACCAAGGACTATGTCCTCACCCTCGGCGGCTCTTCTCCTCCCCTCCTCTCTGGCTTCAGTGACTCCTCCTGGGCTGACTCCCAGCCGGATCGCCGTTCCTCTCAAGGCTACGGCTTCACCCTTGGCAGCGGCCTCATCAGCTGGTGCTCCACTCGCTCCTCCTCCATCGCCCTCTCATCCTGCGAGGCTGAGCTCTATGCTTGCACCATGGCCGCTCAGGAGGCTCGCTGGCTCACCTTCCTCCTTGCTGAGATCCGTGCTCCTCAGCGCTGTCCCACCCTCTGGTGCGACAACGCCAGCACCATCCATCTCACAAAGGACCCTGTCTTCCATGGCCGCTCCAAGCACATTGAACTCCGATACTTCTTCGTTCGAGAGTTGGTCCAGCAAGGTCACTTGGTGGTCCGCAAGATCGCTGCAGAGGCCAACTTGGCCGACATCTTCACCAAGGCCCTCCCGAAGACCGCGCACTCTGCCCTCCTCCGCCTTCACGGCCTTGGGCCCCGCCCCCCTTCCTGATTCTGGGGTTGTACATTATATATACACTAGCTTTGCATGCTATGGGGTTGTGTTAGAATATACCATGCTATGCTAGTTGTGTATATTGTGTTTACATCCCTAGTTGGGTGTACACCTGTGTTGGGGTGTCAATCCAACCCAATTGTGGTTGGAGCCCCCAAACACAAGGACCACAATTGTGGGGGCACCACAAGTGGGTTGGCTAAACCACTGGTGGTACACCACACTTGGACCACCTCCAACTGGTGGTCAACCACATTTGGAAGGATCCTCCCTCCCTTGTGATTGGTCCTAACCCCCCCTTCCCTTCCAACCTTCCCTTCCTAGCTCATCTCTCTCTTCCTATATAATGCCTTTGCTTCATCAATAAACTGAACCTTTCTGTTTCTAACAGGCACCACTCCTCCCGAACTCGTCGAAACCTAACAACTACCCCTCTGCCAACGCCATTTGGCTCTACCTCGAAGATCGCTTCCTGAACAAGACTGCAGTGGGAGTTGCTATACTCATCCCCAGCATGTTCCAAGTGCGGCTCGAGGACTCGCCAGGCATGGCGGACTATGTCACCAAGGTGCAGTCCATTCATGGTGAACTCAAACAGTTGGGGACAGTCTTCCCCGAGCAAGCCCCTGCAGCCGCTCTCCTAGTCGGCCTCACTCCGGCATACGAAGTCACACGCAAGATGCTCTTGGGCCTTGCTCCTGCAGACCTCACATTTGCCAAGGTCTCATCCGCGCTCCTTTCTGCCGAAAAGGACAACAGCGCTCAAGCCAAGGCCAATGCAATCCGCGCTCCCGTGCCTCAAGCCTATGCCACTTCGGCGCCATTCCAGCGCAACCGCTTCCCCCCGTGTCCCTATGTCATCAAGCGCGGCCCTCGTGCTGGCCAGGTGTGTGGCGGCACCAACCACGCCCATGCCTCCTGCTTCAAGAAAAAGGATGACGATTGGTATGCCGTCAATGGGACCGCCTCGAAGCCGCCAAGCTGGATGGTCAATCGTGCTCCTCGCAAGGTCGATCAAGTCGAAGCCCAGGAATCCGTGCAGGCTGCTGTAGCTCCCACTGCTGATGTGCGCCTCCACATGTTGTTCCCTGGCACTGCCATGATCGATGAGACAATTTTGCAGTGTCCCGGCTCACAAAGCACCTCAGCCACAATAGAGTTCACCCTCGACAGTGGGGCCACTCACACGGTTCTCAAGGAAGAACACTCCTTCAAGCCATACGAGACACCAATCCGTCTACTAGGAGCAGACTCCAGTTTCACAACACACGCCAAGGGCTCCTCCACAGTTCCGTGCCCAGCTTTTCCTTGGGGCAGTGTCACCGGCATGTGTGTTCCCACACTACGCCACAATCTCGTGGCCCAACATGAGCTCCAATGGGCAGGCGTCACCACGATCTTCCCAGCACACTCGCATCACTGTGACCTCTTCGACCCTAAGTCCAACAAGCTCCTAGCATGCTTCACACTCAACAGTAGCAAGCTCTACACGCTGCGTTCACCTGCACCTCTCGCCGCCCTCTCCCAAGCGCAAGCTGCCAGCACCACTCCGTGTTCGTGTCGCAGCTTCGCCAACCCAACCATCCTCTACCACCATCGCTTGGGTCACCCCAACTTCCATACACTTGCCGACATCGCTTCCAAGAAACTTCTTCTTGGCCTCCCGTCGGCGCTTCCTCTACCAACAGACTCACCTGCACCCACCTGCCTGGACTGCATCAAGAGCAAGCTCAGGCAGCAGCCGCATCCTTCCTCCCCATCCGTCGCAGCTGCTCCGCTGGACCTAGTGCACATGGATGTCTGGGGCCCAGCTCCAGTCGCATCCCGAGGCGGTCATCGGTACTTTCTTACACTAGTCGATGACCACTCGCGGTATGTTTCTGTGCACCTCCTGCATACCAAGGCGGAGGCACCTGATGTCATCATGGCGTGGGTGCGCCAGGCTCAAGTCACGTTCGGCACTCCTCTGAAGTGCCTCCATTCTGATGGCGGGGGAGAATTTCGCAATGGCAAACTCGATAACTTCTGTGCGGCCCAAGGGATTCGGCAAACCTTCACGCTCCCCAAAAGCCCGCAGCAGAATGGCATTGCAGAGAGCCGCAACCACACCTTGGTTCAGATTGCTCGCTGCCTCCTCAGTCACACCAACGCACCACGGTCACTCTGGGGATATGCCCTCTGTTGGTGCATATTCATTTGCACGTCATCCTGTCGTCTGTTCGCATCATTTCGTTTGCATGTGTTTTGTGTGCTACGTTGTTTGTATGGTTTGTTGGGTTTGCATGTCTTTGCATGTTCATCTTGTGCTTGTGCAGATGTGCTTGGATTGTGCATGACATCGAGCACATTCCAACGAGCCAAGAATTGTTGGAATCGGAGCACATATGAAGAAGTTACGAAGAAATGTTTGATGGATTTGTTACAACTCATTGGAAGTCCTTGTCAGCTGCTACACCAAAGTTGGAGAGCCCTATAACGAGGAGTGACCAGCATGTGTGGGACTTTTGTCCCCACCTTGCAGCTGCAGCATTTGGGGTTTGGAGGCCAACCTGGCACAGTGTGAATTTTGTCTTGCCAGGCTGGCTGAACCTGAGGATGGGGAGTCAAAACTTTGACTCTTGTCATGTTCTTGACCATGGGCCTCCAGGGTCCTTCCCTTTCATCCTTCCCTTCCTACCCCACCTTCCAACTGTGCTTTAATGCCTTTTCTATTATGCCTCTGATCTTGTAAGCTTCAATCATAGTGACTCTGAGGACTGTCAACTTCTCCTAGGGCAGATTACCCCCCAGTGCGCCAAACGCCATAGCTCACTCGTTAAGCTACGGAATCGAGTGATTCAACTTTCAGTGGAAAGCTGACGCTGCCAGCGACAACATATCCGATTTTCAGATCGTTTCACCGATTGGAGTTTTGGATATAGCTATTCGAAGGTCGCGAGTTTTCTGGGCGTCATAACGAAGTGCTGCAGAAATTTCCAAGGAGCCATTGAATCATCTGCTTATAGCCTTCTCTAACCCACAAGTGGTATCAGAGCCTATTATCACGCATTTGGGACCTAAAATACGATGGGAGATAAGGAGGACTCTGGTGGAGGTGATACTTCAGTCCAAGGAGGCAGCTCAACCCAAGATTCTGGCATTGCAGCGCAAAGGGGAGCGCGTACAAGCCAGGGGTCACTGCTTAAGGAGGTGCTGAAGAACTTCACCATTGAGAAGTTCTCTGGAGATGGCTATAATGATTGGGCATGGAAGATGCAGCTCTACTTTCGACAAATTGGCCTCTTGAAGCTCATGATTGGAATGGAGCCAAGGCCAAAGGAAATGGCAGAGCAAGCGGACTGGGATGAACGTTCATCTGCTGGGTATTATCTACTGTCACAAAGCTTGGAGCTGAACCAGAGGCATCACATCATGCATCTGCTACCGGAAATTGATTGTGGGCCCAAGGCATGGGCAGTGCTCAAGGACCTGCACGCTCCGACATCGGTTGCCGCTTCTCTCATGCTGGATCGGGAGCTGTCCATGCTGCGGTTGAGCGAGAATGAACCTGTGCAGCCCGTACTGGACAAGATGAGGGAACTCTACGCGAAATTGGCGATTGCAGGCATCACGTACCCAGAGCAGACAAAGTGTCTCAAGATGCTCAGCCTGCTGACGGAGTCTTGGCTGCAATTTATAAGCGGACTCAGCTTGCCACAAAACCAAAGTCAATGGACATTGGAGTGGATTCGCACCAAGATTCTGGAAGAAGATTTTCGTCGCTATACACTGCGCGGAGGTGATGACAGCACCAGCGGCTATGCCATGCAAGGGACATGGAGGGATCGAGGGCGTGGCAATCGCGGTCGCTCTTACCACAGCCAAGGTGGTCGCGGGACTTGGAACCAGCGGGGGCGTGGTGGCGCTGGTCCAAGAGGAAGAGGTGGTCACTCAAACAATGACAACAGTGAACCACGCTTGAGGGGAGAGTGCTGGTATTGCAAGGAAGAAGGGCATCCATGGTTTCGCTGCTCTACCAAGCCCGACTGGTGGACCCCTTGGAACCAATCGCAAAAGGGGAATGGAGAAAAGAAACCACATGGAGGTGACAACATGGTAGCTGATCCTGCTGAAGAAACCTCCAAGGATGACAGAGGAATGGGAAATGAGGAGAGGAATGCTGGACAGTTCTACCATGTGTGTGACAAAGATGATTGTGACACGACTGTTGCAAAGGCTGGAGAGGAACTGCACCCGTTTAACATGTGGGTCATGGACTCTGGTGCTGCATGGACAATGACACCACGCAAGGACTTGCTGGATGCTGTGCGAGCGCCTCCAATCTCTGAAGTGCGCTCAGCATCCGGACATGCAGTGAAGGTCGCTGGAGTTGGTCGAGCTGCATTCAGAGCACCTGATGGTGGACTGGTTGTGCTGAAGGACGTGTTACTCGTACCGGGGTTGAAGGCCAATCTGATATCGCTGCGCAAGCTAGGCCAGGCCGGAGTCAGCACCACCACCAATGGATCCAAAACATTCAAGGGGCTGCGAGGAGATCGTGTGTTATGGGATTTACACGAAAGCAGAGATGTCTTCAGATCCATGTGGCAGATCCCTGCACTGATATGGGAATCAACAAAGAAGGAGTTGGGAGAAGTAAAGGCGGGTTCTGGAGTCCAGGAGGAGTGTAATGCAGTTAGTGCTGCAGGAGTGACGGTTTCTGCAAGGTCGGGGGAGACTGATTGGGAAACCGCACACAGGCGTCTAGGGCATGTGGCTATGCCATTGCTGCAGCAACTGCATAAGGAAGAAGCAGTAAAGGGGCTCAAGCTTTCTGGGCAACCAAATGATACCAAGTGCGAGACGTGTCTGCTGAGCAAGTTCACACGGTTCCCCTTTCACGGCGTAGCTGGGAAAAGCAAGGCAGCACTGGAACTGGTGCACATGGACCTGGTAGGACCTTTTCCAGTCCGAGGAAGTAAGGGGGAAAGGTACTTCCTGACAATAGTTGATGACTGGAGTCGGCTGATGTGGGCATACCCGTTGAAGCAGAAGGATCATGCTGCCTCAACAATACGAGATGATTGGCTGCCGTTCGTCGAGCGACAATCTGGGCACCCATGCAAGAGCATCAGAACCGACCGAGGTGGAGAGTTTCTAGGAGGAGATCTGACTGCGTGGCTCAAGAAACAAGGCATTGAGCATCAGCTAACGACGTCCTATACCCCTCAGTCAAATGGCGTTGCTGAGAGGGCTAATAGGACCATCCTGGAAACTGCGCGAGCGCTGCTGATCGAATCAGGGCTGGGGAACTCCATGTGGCCTCATGCGGTGAGGCATGCTACAGTGGCAAGGAACCGCGTACTCACAAAGGTGGCTGATGATATGTGGGTGCCGCTGGAGAGGTGGCTTGGAAAGAAGCCTCCAGTGGACATGCTTCGAGTGTTCGGATGCATGGCAGTGGCGCATGTCCCTAAACCGTACAGGACAAAGCTTGGAGCATCTGCACTTTGGTGTGTGCACCTTGGGCTTGCGGCAGAGAGCAAGGGGTGGCTACTCTGGGAGCCCTCAAAGAATGTGCTGTTTGACAGTCGGGATGTCAAATTTGTGGAGAACATCATGTATGGCAAGTGGGAGAAGCAGCCGGAGGCAAGGGTCACCCAGCAGCTGGAAGAGATCACTATGCACTTCGATCTGTCCGAACCTGCGGACAGCGAAGTCACTGCGCCAACGGCAAGCGGTACTGATGAAGGAAGTAATGAGGATATTGCAGCTGATGCTGAAGTCAATGATCCGGAGCAGCAGCAGCAAGAGGCTTCCAAAACACCAAGTCTGCCAAAGCGAAGGAAACAGATTGGTGGGGGGACAAAGGATTGGGTGAAGGTGAAAGAATGGGTAAATCCAACCATCTACCCTGCACGTACCAGAATGGCAACGAGAAAGCTGTTGAGCTCCACAAGTGGAGGAGCCACAACTGAGCAGCAGGAACAGGCTCAAGGCGAAGATGCAGTGCTGTTCTTGGGTGATGACCAAGAGTCAGATGACGAGGAGCCTGCATACTGCTTTCACGCACCAATACAACCTCCGAGCATGGATCATGTGCTAGCCGGGCCTCAACGGGGGAAGTGGCTCATTTCAAGAGATGCAGAGTACAACAGCCAGATGGAGAATCACACATGGGACCTGGTGTACTTGCCAAATGGGAAGAAGGCAATACAGTGCAAGTGGCTGGCGAAAATCAAGACGGATGAGAAAGGAGAGCCATCAGTTTACAAGAGCAGGCTGGTGGCAAAGGGGTTTCAGCAGAAAGAGAAGGAAGATTACAAAGAAGTGTTTGCCCCAACTGCTAAGTCTCCAACGCTACGTGTGCTGCTGGCGGTAGCTGCTGTGCGCAAATGGAAGGTGAAGCAGATGGACATCGTAACCGCTTTTCTGTACGGCATTGTGGAAGAGGAGGTGTACATGGTTCAACCACCTGGCTATGAGGATGGAACCGGTCGTGTCTGCAAACTTAACAAGGCCATCTATGGCTTGAAGCAGGCCCCGAGATGCTGGTACAACAGGCTGGCCAGTGCACTGGAAGGGATTGGATTCCGTGCGAGTGAAAACTCAGCAACAGCCAGCCGACTTCCTTACCAAGCGGCTAGCTGAAGAGCCACACTGGCGCTGTGCGAGGATGGCGGGAATGTCCTTGAACTAGAGACGGCGAAACAAGCCGACAGTCTGAGGGGGAGTGTGTTGGTGCATATTCGTTTGCACGTCATCCTGTCGTCTGTTCGCATCATTTCGTTTGCATGTGTTTTGTGTGCTACGTTGTTTGTATGGTTTGTTGGGTTTGCATGTCCTTGCATGTTCATCTTGTGCTTGTGCAGAAGTGCTTAGATTGTGCATGACATCGAGCACATTCCAACGAGCCAAGAATTGTTGGAATCGGAGCACATATGAAGAAGTTACGAAGAAATGTTTGATGGATTTGTTACAACTCATTGGAAGTCCTTGTCAGCTGCTACACCAAAGTTGGAGAGCCCTATAACGAGGAGGGACCAGCATGTGTGGGACTTTTGTCCTCACCTTGCAGCTGCAGCATTTGGGGTTTGGAGGCCAACCTGGCACAGTGTGAATTTTGTCTTGCCAGGCTGGCTGAACCTGAGGATGGGGAGTCAAAACTTTGACTCTTGTCATGTTCTTGACCATGGGCCTCCAGGGTCCTTCCCTTTCATCCTTCCCTTCCTACCCCACCTTCCAACTGTGCTTCAATGCCTTTTCTATTATGCCTCTGATCTTGTAAGCTTCAATCATAGTGACTCTGAGGACTGTCAACTTCTCCTAGGGCAGATTACCCCCCAGTGCGCCAAACGCCATAGCTCACTCGTTAGGCTACGGAATCGAGTGATTCAACTTTCAGTGGAAAGCTGACGCTGCCAGCGACAACATATCCGATTTTCAGATCGTTTCACCGATTGGAGTTTTGGATATAGCTATTCGAAGGTCGCGAGTTTTCTGGGCGTCATAACGAAGTGCTGCAGAAATTTCCAAGGAGCCACTGAATCATCTGCTTATAGCCTTCTCTAACCAACACCCTCTTCCATGCGGCACTCCTCTACAATCTTTATCCGCATCCCCACCGGCCCGACACCACACCTACCGCTCTCTGGCTTGGGATCACGCCTTCAGCCCGCTCTCTATGCGTCTGGGGGTGTACCGCGTATGTGTTGCTACGCCCCCACACGCGCAGGATGCAAGGTGGTAAGCTTGGTCCCAAAACCCAGGCCTGCATGTACCTGGGGCACAACTCCGACTCCCCAGACTACTTATTCCTCAACCCAATCACCAGACAGCTGATTTGCAGCCGTGATGTCGTCTTCGATGAGACACGCCCATTCCACTCTGCGACCACGGGCGAGCCTCCTCCACCTCCCCCGACGCTTGTTTGGGCAGACTTCGATGCCCCACCTCCGGCCGCTGCCCCTTCTCCAGGGCCTTCTCCGTCCGGCGTATCTCACTCAGCCTCCCCAGTATCCTCCGCAGCGGCACCTCCTCCTGCTCCGCCTTCCCCGCGCGTCGAGCCCGGCTCACCAGTCTCCTATCGGAGGCGCCCAGTCCCTCCGGTCCCACCGCAGCCGCCTTCGTCTCCGGTCTCTAGTCACACTCGTTCCAAGGGACCAGCTCTGCCTCTCGCCTGGGGACCAGCCGCCTTCTCCATCCGGTGTTCGGTCACCCCGCCTCCTCCTGCCGGGGGTGATGTCCCCTCTATCCGTATTCCCCCCCGTGCACTTCTGGAGGACAGGCATGAGGAGCTGTTTGACCTTCATGCGATCTGCCAATTTCTCTCTCACATCTTCCCGGACATTACTGACTGCCCTTCCCTCAACTTCACCGAGAACCCGACCATTCCAACTCCTCGCACAAAAGAGGAAGCTCTCTCGGGGCCTTATAAGAAGGAGTGGAAGGCAGCAATGGATGTGGAGAACGAGGCGTTCATTCGCAACAACAGCTTTGACGATGTTGTTCCCCCTTCCGTTGTCAACATCGTCAGCGGAAAATGGATCTTCCGAGTCAAACAACTCCCAGGCGAAGCTCCACTGTTCAAGGCACGATACGTGGCGAAGGGTTTCACCCAGAAGGAGTATCTCGACTTCTTCGAAACATTCTCGCCCACGGCCAAGCTCCCGACTGTGCGCGCTCTTCTTGATATAGCCGCTCACGGCAACTTCGAGATCAAGTCCATGGATGCCTCCTCCGCCTTTCTCCAAGGCCAGCTCAATGTTCACATGGAACGCCCACCGGGGTTTCCTGGCACTTACCCTGCCAACACAGTGTGGAAGCTGAAGCGCCCAGTGTATGGCCTCAAGCAGGCTCCTCGTGAGTGGCACAACAAGGTGAAGGAAGTCCTCCTCGCACTTGACTTCCATCCCTCTGCCTCAGATTCCAGTCTCTTCGTTCGTCACTCCTCCGAGCCCTTCTACATCCTCGTCTACGTCGACGACTTCATTCTAGCCGCCAGAGATCCAGCCGACATGGCAGCTGTCCAGTCTGCTCTCAGCTCCGCCCTTCTCATGAAGGATCTTGGTGACCTCAAGGACTACCTGGGGATGGAGATCACTCGTGACCGCCAGGCTTGCACGATCACCCTCTCCCAGGAGTCCTACATCGACAACCTTCTCAAGCGGTTCGACATGGACTCCAGTAACTCTGTCTCCACTCCACTCCCACTACAGCATCAGCTCACGGCCCCTCCAGTTCCTTCTCCTGACGCCTGCAAGGACCCGTACCCTGAGCTAGTCGGTTCACCTATGTATGCCATGATGTGCACTCAACCAGACTTGGCTTACCCCGTTAGTGTCCTCTCTCGGTACGTCTCCCCCGGACGCTACACTGCCTCGCATTGGTCTGCAGCCAAGAGGGTCCTCCGCTATCTACAAGCCACCAAGTCTCACATCCTCACTCTTGGTGGTACCTCTCCAGTCAAGCTCGAGGGATACACAGACTCCTTATGGGCCGATGACCAGACTAACAGACGCTCCTCCCAAGGGTACTGCTTCACCCTTGGTAGCGGAGTCATCAGCTGGCGCTCCACTCGGTCCTCTGCAGTCTCCCTGTCGTCCTGCGAGGCCGAGCTCTACGCGGGCACAATGGCTGCTCAAGAGGCACGCTGGCTCTCCTTTCTCCTCGCTGAGTTAGGCTACCCCCAGCAGTCGCCCACCCTGTGGTGTGACAACCAGAGTGCCATTCACCTCACCAAGGATCCTGTGTTCCACTCTCGCACCAAGCACATCGAACTTCGTCATTTCTTCATCCGAGATCTTGTTCAGAGTGACCAGCTAACGGTACGGTACATCGCCTCAGATTGCAACCTCGCCGACCTCTTTACCAAGGCTCTCGGCAAGGCTGACCACCATCGCCTTCTCCGTTCCATGGGGCTATGTGCTCCTTGATCGGGTTTGCAGTCTATGGGGGTCTGTTAGAGATAGACTGCAAATACCACTTTTGTATTTGTACTTTTATATCCTAGTTTAGGTTATGAATGTTCTAGTGGGTTGGGGTGTACTCACAAATCCCAACCGCACCCAATTGTGATCCCCCCAATCTCAAATTACCCAATTGGAGATTCCGAAGATCCCAATGGGGATTCCCTCCAATTCCCCCTTCATCCATTCACTCTCACCTTGCCATGTACTTATAGAGCCTTGGGCTCCTTACCTAATTAATCATTTCAACTCTATTTCTTAGACGCGCTACGCGCACTTCATCGTCGCGACATTCGTTTCGAATCGTCGGAATTTCGACGTGCTCCACTCTGCAGTCGCGCCTCTCATTGTCGACCGCCTTCGCGCTCGACCTCGTTCAATTTCTCATCTCTGAAGCTTTCACGCTTCTCATCGTCGATTTCCTCCTCGGTTCTCCTTGGTCGAATCTCAATTTCGACCATCTCTTAAAACTCGTTCTCGAGTTTCCCCTCAGACCCCGCCAAAATAGGCGAACTCCCCTCGCAAAATCGCCTCCATGAACGTCTCGCGTCTCCCAGCTGGTTGCGGAGCTGGTTGCGGAGCTGGTTGCGGAGCTGGTTGCGTAGCTGTGTAGCTGCGGGACATGGCCTGTGGGTGTGTGGGGGGGTGTGTGGGTCCGGGGTTAGACATAGGCTCAGATTCAGTTTCAAGTCGGCGTTTTAACGAATTTTTGCCGACGCCATTTCCTACTTAGTGGCATTTTGATAAAGCCGTCAGAGTGATTTTCAGCAATTCTCGTCGACCAATTTCCAGAAGTGCCGCGCTGCACACCGACAATGGCTTACTCAACCACTTCACTCGCCAACCCGATCCCGCTCCTTCGTCTCGGGCCAGACGGCACATGCTCCAACTACAAGGCTTGGCGCTATGGTGTCGACAAGCACCTCCTCAGTCGCGAGGTGAAGGGGCTCGAGCTCACCGAGGTCCTTCTCAACATCGGTGACGGCAAAGAGCCTCCTAAACCCGAGAGGTCCGCCGATCCAGCTAATGCCGCCGCCGAAGCAGTTTATGCTGCTGCACTGCTCAAGTACAAGAATTGGGAGAAGGCCGATGGTGCGGTCATTAGTGTCTTCATGGGCACCACTCCTCCCGAACTCGTCGAAACCTACCACAACTACCCGTCTGCCAACGCCATTTGGCTCTACCTCGAAGACCGCTTCCTGAACAAGACTGCAGTGGGAGTTGCTATACTCATCCCCAGCATGTTCCAAGTGTTGGTGCAACCCTATGGCTTGCACTCGGCTTGTCGTCCTTGTTTGTGTGTGTGCATGCATGGCATGGAATGAATTGTGAGTCTATGTCATTGCTATCCAGTGCTTGTGTGTGTGTTTGAATGGTGTATCACAATGTGGTTTGTGTCGGTCAAGACATTAGCAAGTTTTTACAACTCGCATGTCAAGTCGTCGTTTGTGTGTCGCATGTGTTTTTTCTATTTTGTCGAGTGTGAAGTGTCGATCGTGTCGCAGGTGTGTGCAGCAAGCCCCCATCAACTCAAGAAGAATTTATCTTGCAGATCCAGGAACAAGAGCTCAAGATTTCAAGCCCAAGGGACGCGGATAAATATTAAATAGTGAAAATAGTAACGTTACTTCGTGTAGTGTTACATTTCACTTGGTGTAGCCCCTTGGAGGGTTGGTTTCGAGACTCTTCATGGTTGGGGACCCTGTGGTGGTGTACCACCAACCTGGACCTCGGCTCTTGGGGTATGTAGAGGCTGGGAACCATCTCCCTCTCGAACTCTTCTTGCTAAGTTTGTACTCCTAAGACTATTGTGGCTGCTATACCTCCTGCCAGTCAAACCGCCATAGCGTCGTCAAATCTTCATGGAATTTCATGATTCAACTTGTTGCTGATAGACGACAGCAACACGCTCCAGATCCAATTTACACATCACCGTTTGATTCAGTGACCAGATCGTTATCAGTATTTGAAGCCGTCTGACAGAAATCCGACTGTGCTCTCTATCTCTCATTATAGGCACATCTAAGCCTATTGTGATAATAACAAGTGGTATCAGAGCCCCTTGGAGCTGTCTCGACCATGCCTAGGCCTGAGGAAGGGGGTGGCAGAGGTGTTGGAGGCAGAGAAGACGCCCAAGCACAAGGTCAACACCAAGATCCACCCGTTGCTCCGGTGCAACCTAGCCTTGGACCCTCTAGGGATGAGCCTAGAGTGTTTGGCCTTGACAAGTTCAACGGTGACAACTTTGCTGAGTGGTCCTTCAAGATGGAGAACATCTTTGACCATTATGATCTGCTGGAGGTGATGGAAGGAACGGAGAAGCACCCCGAGAACGACCCGGAGAAGAGCCCGTGGGTGCGGAAGAGCGCACAAGGCTACCTTCTACTTGGGCAAGCGTTGGGGAGCAGCCAAATCCGTCACATCAAGCCTTTTCAGCGTGAACCAGCAAAGGGACCAAAGGCATGGGCTGCTCTCAAGGGTGTACACGCTCCTGCAACAGCGGCGGTGGCTGTGGTTTTGGAGCGGCAAATGGCGGCACTTCGAATTGACGAAGGCGAACCGGTGGAGGAAGGAGTGCAGAAATTCTTCGACTTGTTGACACGGCTCGAAGGAGCTGACCTGAACTACAGTGACCTTCAAAAGAAGACCAAGCTGCTAGCCTTACTTCCGGACTCATGGTCCTCGCTCATCATCAACCTTAATCGAGATCTGCCCCGTCTCTCACTCGAAGATGTGAAGCGGGAAATCTTACAAGAAGATTTCCGCCGTCGCGAATTGGCGGGTCCCGATGGTGCCGGAGTTGCAAGCATGGGCCGTGGGCACGGCCGTGGAAGGGGCAGAGGGCGAGGAGGCAGATTTGGCAGCAGCAACTTCAATGGAGGCCGTGGTAATGGAGGATATGGCAGCAACAACAATGGCTACGGGCGTGGGCGCGGTCGATTTGATGGCGAATGCCACTTTTGCCACAAGACCGGCCACATGTGGAGAGATTGCTTCAAACTACCTGATGGCTGGACCCCCTCTCAAGGCCAAGAGGGCAGAGGAGCAAGGGGAGGAAGAGGCAGAGGTCGTGGAGGCCGTGGTGGCCGTGGAGGCGAAGCGGCAAGCATGAAAGGTGGAGACTACGACAAGGACTCGAGTGAAGATCGATACCCGGGCCAATTCTTCTTTGTCTCCACGCAAGCGGCAGCTGCAGCAGGAGGTGTGGAAGGCTTTGAGGAGCCAGCTACTGTGGGAAAGGTCACCCTTCACTCTCTGGACTTTTGGGTGATCGATAGCGGCGCCACCTATAGCATGACACCTCGTGCGGACTTGCTCACCGAACTCGAACCGTCGCCGGTCAAGCATGTTACATCGGCTTTGGGACAGCGAGCAGAGGTGAAAGGCATGGGCAAGGCCATGTTCAAGGGTGCTGATGGGAAGATGGTGGGCCTCAAGAACGTGCTTTTGGTGCCCAACCTAGCAGCCAACCTGATTTCCGTTCGGCGTTTGCAAAAGGCCGGCATGGACACATCTTCCAAGGGTTCGAAAACATATACCGCGAGGCTTGGTGAGCGGAAGCTTTGGGACCTTCATGAGGACAGGGACATCTACAATGAGATGTGGCAAATCCCAGTGGTCCCCATGCCTAAGGAGAGGCAAGTGGCAGCAAGCGTCAGCACCAAGAGTGAAGCGGATGGTGGCGGTGATCACGGAAAACAAAGTGACACCAAGAGTGACTCGAAGGAGTGCAATCTTGGAGAGACCAGCAAGGCGTGTGAACCCAAGGAGAGTAGTGCAGCAGCCAAAGGTGGTGGAAATGAGGAGGGGAAACCTAAGATCAGCAAAGCAGCAGCGGCGAAGGAGAAAGGAGAGAGCTTGTGGGACACGATTGCGAGTGCCGCTTTCTCCAACCCGACTTCCGCTACGGGAGAGTGTGATTGGCTGACCTTGCATCGGCGAATGGGGCATGTGGCATTGCCCATTTTGCAGCAGATAGTTAAGCAAGAGATGGTCAGTGGGATACGTGTCAAGGGGGAGCCCAATGAGGTGCTTGGCTGTCCAACATGCATGCAAGCCAAGTTCACCCGCTACCCGTTCCATAGCTCGGAGACAACGGCGAAGGCACCACTTGATGAGGTGGTGATGGATGTGGTGGGCCCCTTGAAGCTTGGAGCTGCTGGAGCTGCGTACTTCCTCACCATTGTGGACGTCTACACTCGCATGACTTGGGTGTATGTGCTGCCAAAGAAGAGTGACGTAGCTGAAACGGTGAAGACCGATTGGTTGCCGATGGTGGAGCGGCAACAAGACCGACTTGTGAAGGCGATTCGCACTGACCGTGGGGGAGAGTTCCTGAGCAAGGATTTCTCAACTTGGCTGAAGAAGCAGGGCATAAGGCACTCTCTTACCATGCCCTACTCTCCTGCAATGAACGGCATTGCCGAGCGTGCGAATCGGACACTCACGGAGACGGCTCGGGGACTTCTCATTGAAGCCGGTCTTCCCAATTACTTTTGGCCGGATGCGGTGCGGCATGCTTGTGTGGCCAAGAACAGAGCCTTGACTCATGTGGGAGAAGACAAATGGGTGCCCTATGTGGAGTGGATTGGAAGGAAGCCGAAGGTGGATATGCTTCGGGTGTTCGGGTGCATGTGCATGGCACTTGTGCCTAAGAAACTTCGGCACAACAAACTTGATGCCAAGGCAACATGGGCCGTGCACCTGGGCATGGCTCAAAACAGCAAGGGATGGCTTCTTTGGGACCCATTTACCAAGAAGTTCTTGGTGAGCAGAGATTGCAAGTTCATGGAGAACTTACCGTACAAGGAGTGGAAGGCGGAGAACCAAGCGAAGATTGGTATGCGGCTTGGAGAGGTGAAGAGTAACGGCTTGGAGCATGTGGAGCTGCCCTTGGAGCTGAGTAGCAGCAGCACAGTCACGAGGCAATCTCCTCAAATGAATGGGGATGAAGAGGAGGAGGAGGTGCAGCAAGGTGATGAGCGTGCACCGTCACTTCCGCCTCGTGCTACAAGTGCTCGTGGGAACCGACCAGATTTACCGCAATGCCATGAGAGCATTCAAGTCCCTGCAGCAGAGGAGGAAGGAAGGGGGAGAAGGAGAACTCAGCCCCCTAATAGGTTGAGCTATGATCGGCTTGGAAGACCAGCCAACTCAACCTTGACCGGTTCGGCTCTCATGCTAGGCGATGATGCGGAAGATGAAAGCGAGGAGTGCGCCTTTGCCTTCTTCTCTCCGGTGGAGATGCCGGGGGAGCCTACAAATCCCAAGGAGGCTTGGGAGGGCCCCAATGGGAAGGAGTGGAAGAAGGCCTCAGATGAAGAAATGGGGAGCATCATCGAGAACGACACGCTTGACTTGGTGAACCTACCTCCGGGGCGTAAGGCGATCTCTTCCAAGTGGCTCTTCAAGCGCAAGACCGACGCCGACGGCAACATCGAGCGCTACAAGAGCAGACTTGTAGCCAAGGGGTATCAGCAGCAAGAGAAGAAGGACTACAATGAAGTGTATGCTCCTGTGGTGAAGGGTACAACCCTTCGAACCCTCTTCGCCGCGGCGGCCATCAAAGGATGGGTGGTGAAGCAAATGGATATCGTAACGGCCTTCCTCAACGGCGTTTTGGAGGAAGAAACCTACATGGAGCAGCCAGAGGGGTACAATGATGGGAGTGGCAGAGTGTGGAAGCTGAAGAAAGCACTCTATGGCCTCAAGCAAGCCCCTAGGCAATGGTACATCAAGCTGCGGGAAGTTTTGGAGGCGATCGGCTTCACTCCCTCAACGGCCGATCAATCGTTGTTCATGCTTGGCGAGGGGGAGCAGAGGAGCTTCATGGTGGTTTATGTGGATGACATCCTTATATTCTCACCCTCCTCTGACCTTGTGAAGGAGGTGATGCTGAAGCTTCAAGACAAGTTCAAGTGCAAGACCCTTGGTGACGTCAACTACTACCTTGGGCTTCACATTGAGCGAGATGTGGAGAAGCGGTGGATGCGAGTGCATCAAAAGAAGTACTTGGAGGCCTTGGCTGCAAACTTTGGGAAGAGTGAAGGTCATGTGGCTACTCCTCTTCCCTCAGGGTTCAAGTGTGTGAAAGGACCAGCGGAGGAAAGTGTTGGTGAAGAGGAGAGGCGCCGTTTTCACTCCTTGGTGGGCAGCCTCATGTATGCGGCCGTTCACACAAGGCCGGATGCAGCCTTTGCTACCGGGCAGCTGGCTAGGGTTGTCCAATGCCCTAATGAAGAGCAGGTAGCAGCTGGAGAGAGAGTGGCCAAGTACCTTGGCCAAACAGCAACTGTTGGACTGCAATACTCCGCGGCGGCACAAAGGCGTCAAAAGGGTGCGGATGGAGTCGAACCCGGGAGGCTTTTTCTCACCGCCTTCTCTGATGCATCTTGGGCATCAGAACCAGAGGACATGACAAGTGTGGGAGGCTTCATCTGCTGTGTTGGTGGAGGGCCAACAGCTTGGGAGAGCAAGAAGCAAGTGGACCAAGCATTGAGCTCGGTGGAGTCCGAGTACATGGCACTCTTCCGTGCCATAAGAGAGGTTGTGTGGCAGCGGCGTTTGCTAGCTGAATTGGGGGAGGAGCAGCAAGGACCTACCCCACTCTACTGTGATAGCCAGGGTGCTATTGCATTGGCTAAGAACCCCGTTCTTCATGGCCTTACCAAGCACATGAAGGTGAAGTGGCATTGGGTGAGGAGCATGGTAACCGCGGGTGAAGTGGAGTTGCACTACGTGAAGACGACGGCGCAGCCAGCTGATATGATGACCAAGAGGCTGGTTGAGCAGCAGCATTGGAAGTGTTGCAAGCTTGCTGGGATGGCTCTGAACTAAGGGGAGCAGATTCTAAGGCCAACAATCCGAGGGGGAGTTTGTTGGTGCAACCCTATGGCTTGCACTCGGCTTGTCGTCCTTGTTTGTGTGTGTGCATGCATGGCATGGAATGAATTGTGAGTCTATGTCATTGCTATCCAGTGCTTGTGTGTGTGTTTGAATGGTGTATCACAATGTGGTTTGTGTCGGTCAAGACATTAGCAAGTTTTTACAACTCGCATGTCAAGTCGTCGTTTGTGTGTCGCATGTGTTTTTTCTATTTTGTCGAGTGTGAAGTGTCGATCGTGTCGCAGGTGTGTGCAGCAAGCCCCCATCAACTCAAGAAGAATTTATCTTGCAGATCCAGGAACAAGAGCTCAAGATTTCAAGCCCAAGGGACGCGGATAAATATTAAATAGTGAAAATAGTAACGTTACTTCGTGTAGTGTTACATTTCACTTGGTGTAGCCCCTTGGAGGGTTGGTTTCGAGACTCTTCATGGTTGGGGACCCTGTGGTGGTGTACCACCAACCTGGACCTCGGCTCTTGGGGTATGTAGAGGCTGGGAACCATCTCCCTCTCGAACTCTTCTTGCTAAGTTTGTACTCCTAAGACTATTGTGGCTGCTATACCTCCTGCCAGTCAAACCGCCATAGCGTCGTCAAATCTTCATGGAATTTCATGATTCAACTTGCTGCTGATAGACGACAGCAACACGCTCCAGATCCAATTTACACATCACCGTTTGATTCAGTGACCAGATCGTTATCAGTATTTGAAGCCGTCTGACAGAAATCCGACTGTGCTCTCTATCTCTCATTATAGGCACATCTAAGCCTATTGTGATAATAACACCAAGTGCGGCTCGAGGACTCGCCAGGCATGGCGGACTATGTCACCAAGGTGCAGTCCATTCATTGTGAACTCAAACAGTTGGGGACAGTCTTCCCCGAGCAAGCCCCTGCAGCCGCTCTCCTAGTCGGCCTCACTCCGGCATACGAAGTCACACGCAAGATGCTCTTGGGCCTTGCTCCTGCAGACCTCACATTTGCCAAGGTCTCATCTGCACTCCTTTCTGCCGAAAAGGACAACACTGATCAAGCCAAGGCCAATGCAATCCGCGCTCCCGTGCCTCAAGCCTATGTCGCTTCGGTGCCATTCCAGCGCAACCGCTTCCCCCCGTGTCCCTACATCATCAACCGCGGCCCTCGTGCTGGCCAGGTGTATGGCGGCACCAACCACACCCATGCCTCTTGCTTTAAGGAGAAGGATGACGAATGGTATGCCGTCAATGGGACCGCCTCCAAGCCGCCAAGCTGGATGGTTAATCATGCTCCTCGCCAAGTCAATCAAGTCGAAGCGCAGGAATCCGTGCAGGCTGCTGTGGCTGCACCTGCTGATGTGCGCCTCAACATGTTGTTCCCTGGCACTGCCATGATTAATGAAACGATTTCGCAGTATCCTGGCTCACAAAGCACCTCAGCCACAATAGAGTTCACCCTCGACAGTGGGGCCACTCACACGGTTCTCAAGGAAGAACACTCCTTCAAGCCATACGAGACACCAATCCGTCTACTTGGAGGAGACTCCAGTTTCACAACACACGCCAAGGGCTTCTCCACAGTTCCGTACCCAGCTTTTCCTTCGGGCAGTGTCACCGGCATGTGTGTTCCCACACTATGCCACAATCTCGTGGCCCAACAGGAGCTCCAACGGGCAGGCGTCACCACGATCTTCCTAGCACACTCGGATCACTGTGACCTCTTCGACCCTAAGTCCAACAAGCTCCTAGCACGCTTCACACTCAACAGTAGCAAGCTCTACACGCTGCGTTCACCTGCACCTCTTGCCGCCCTCTCCCAAGCGCAAGCTGCCAGCACCACTCCGTGTTCGTGTCGCAGCTTCGCCAACCCAACCATCCTCTACCGCCATCGCTTGGGTCACCCCAACTTCCGTACACTTGCCGACATCGCTTCCAAGAAACTTCTTCTTGGCCTCCCGTCGGCGCTTCCTCCACCAACAGACTCACCTGCACCCACCTGCCTGGACTGCACCAAGAGCAAGCTCAGGCAGCAGCCGCACCCTTCCTCCCCATCCGTCGCAGCTGCTCCGCTGGACCTAGTGCACATGGATGTCTGGGGCCCAGCTCCAGTCGCATCCCGAGGCGGTCATCGGTACTTTCTTACACTAGTCGATGACCACTCGCGGTATGTTTCTGTGCACCTCCTGCATACCAAGGCAGAGGCACCTGATGTCATCATGGCGTGGGTGCGCCAGGCTCAAATCACGTTCTGCACTCCTCTGAAGTGCCTCCATTCTGATGGCGGGGAAGAATTTCGCAATGGCAAACTCGATAACTTCTGTGCGGCCCAAGGGATTCGGCAAACCTTCATGCTCCCCGAAAGCCCGCAGCAGAACGGCATTGCAGAGAGCCGCAACCACACCTTGGTTCAGATCGCTCGCTGCCTCCTCAGTTACGCCAACGCACCACGGTCACTCTGGGGATATGCCCTCTTCCATGCGGCACTCCTCTACAATCTTTATCCGCATCCCCACCGGCCCGACACCACACCTACCGCTCTCTGGCTTGGGGTCACGCCTTCCGCCCGCTCTCTACGCTTCTGGTGGGTGTATCGCCTATGTGTTGCTAAGCCCCCACACGCGCAGGAAGCAAGGTGGCAAGCTTGGTCCCAAAACCCAGACCTGCATGTACCTGGGGCACAACTCCAACTCCCCAGACTACTTATTCCACAACCCAATCACCAGACAGCTGATTCGCAGCCGTGATGTTGTCTTCGATGAGACACGCCCATTCCACTCTGCGACCACGGGCGAGCCTCCTCCACCTCCCCCGACGCTTGTATGGGCAGACTTCGATGCCCCACCTCCGGCCGCTGCCCCTTCTCCGGGGCCTTCTCCGTCCGGCGTGTCTCATCCGGCCTCCCCAGTATCCTCCGCAGCGGCACCTCCTCCTGCTCCGCCTTCCCCGCGCGTCGAGCCCGGCTCACCAGTCTCCTATCGGAGGCGCCCAGTCCCTCCGGTCCCACCGCAGCCGCCTTCGTCTCCGGTCTCTAGTCGCACTCGTTCCAAGGGACCGGCTCCGCCTCTCGCCTGGGGACCAGCCGCCTTCTCCATCCGGTGTTCGGTCACCCCGCCTCCTCCTGCCGGGGGTGATGTCCCCTCCATCCGTATTCCCCCCCGTGCACTTCTGGAGGACAGGCATGAGGAGCTGTTTGACCTTCACGCGGTCTGCCAATTTCTCTCTCACATCTTCCCGGACATTACTGACTGCCCTTCCCTCAACTTCACCGAGAACCCGACCATTCCGACTCCTCGCACAAAAGAGGAAGCTCTCTCGGGGCCTTATAAGAAGGAGTGGAAGGCAGCAATGGATGTGGAGAACGAGTCGTTCATTCGCAACAACAGCTTTGACGATGTTGTTCCCCCTTCCGGTGTCAACATCGTCGGCGGAAAATGGATCTTCCGAGTCAAACAACTCCCAGGCGAAGCTCCACTGTTCAAGGCACGATACGTGGCGAAGGGTTTCACCCAGAAGGAGTATCTCGACTTCTTCGAAACATTCTCGCCCACGGCCAAGCTCCCGACTGTGCGCGCTCTTCCTGATATAGCCGCTCACGGCAACTTCGAGATCAAGTCCATGGATGCCTCCTCCGCCTTTCTCCAAGGCCAGCTCAAGGAGGATGTTCACATGGAACGCCCACCGGGGTTTCCTGGCACTTACCCTGCCAACACAGTGTGGAAGCTGAAGCACCCAGTGTATGGCCTGAAGCAGGCTCCTCCTGAGTGGCACAACAAGGTGAAGGAAGTCCTCCTCGCACTTGACTTCCATCCCTCTGCCTCAGATTCCAGTCTCTTCGTTCGTCACTCCTCCGAGCCCTTCTACATCCTCGTCTACGTCGACGACTTCATTCTAGCCGCCAGAGATCCAGCCGACATGGCAGCTGTCCAGTCTGCTCTCAGCTCCGCCCTTCTCATGAAGGATCTTGGTGACCTCAAGAACTACCTGGGGATGGAGATCACTCGTGACCGCCAGGCTTGCACGATCACCCTCTCCCAGGAGTCCTACATCGACAACCTTCTCAAGCGGTTCGACATGGACTCCAGTAACTCTGTCTCCACTCCACTCCCACTACAGCATCAGCTCACGGCCCCTCCGGTTCCTTCTCCTGACGCCTGCAAGGACCCGTACCCTGAGCTAGTCGGTTCACTCATGTATGCCATGATGTGCACTCGACCAGAGTTGGCTTACCCGGTTAGTGTCCTCTCTCGGTACGTCTCCCCCGGACGCTACACTGCCTCGCATTGGTCTGCAGCCAAGAGGGTCCTCCGCTATCTACAAGCCACCAAGTCTCACATCCTCACTCTTGGTGGTACCTCTCCAGTCAAGCTCGAGGGATACACAGACTCCTCATGGGCCGATGACCAGACTTACAGACGCTCCTCCCAAGGGTACTGCTTCACCCTTGGTAGCGGAGTCATCAGCTGGCGCTCCACTCGGTCCTCTGCAGTCTCCCTGTCGTCCTGCGAGGCCGAGCTCTACGCGGGCACAATGGCTGCTCAAGAGGCACGCTGGCTCTCCTTTCTCCTCGCTGAGTTAGGCTACCCCCAGCAGTCGCCCACCCTGTGGTGTGACAACCAGAGTGCCATTCATCTCACCAAGGATCCTGTGTTCCACTCTCGCACCAAGCACATCGAACTTCGTCATTTCTTCATCCGAGATCTTGTTCAGAGTGACCAGCTGACGGTACGGTACATCGCCTCAGATTGCAACCTCGCCAACCACTTTACCAAGGCTCTCGGCAAGGCTGATCACCATCGCCTTCTCCGTTCCATGGGGCTATGTGCTCCTTGATCGGGTTTGCAGTCTATGGGGGTGTGTTAGAAATAGACTGCAAATACCACTTTTGTATTTGTACTTTAATATCCTAGTTTAGGTTATGAATGCTCTAGTGGGTTGGGGTGTACTCACAAATCCCAACCTCACCCAATTGTGATCCCCACAATCTCCAATTACCCAATTGGAGATTCCGGAGATCCCAATGGGGATTCCCTCCAATTCCCCCTTCATCCATTCTCTCTCACCTTGCCATGTACTTATAGAGCCTTGGGCTCCTTACCGAATCAATTATTTCAACTCTATTTCTTACAACTCTCACTGCAGTCTTGTTCAGGAAGCGGTCTTCGAGGTAGAGCCAAATGGTGTTGGCAGACGGGTAGTTGTGGTAGGTTTTGACGAGTTCGGGAGGAGTGGTGCCCATGAAGACACTAATGACTACACCATCGGCCTTCTCCCAATTCTTGTTCTTGAGCAGTGCAGCAGCATAAACTGCTTCGGCGACGGCATTAGCTGGATCGACGGACCTCTCGGGTTTAGGAGGCTCTTTGCCGTCACCGATGTTGAGAAGGACGTCGGTGAGCCCGAGCCCCTTCAGCTCGCAACTGAGGAGGTGCTTGTCGACACCATAGTGCCAAGCCTTGTAGTTGGAGCATGTACCGTCCGGCTCGAGACGAAGGAGCGGGATCGGGTTGGCGAGTGAAGTAGTTGAGTAAGCCATTGCCGCTTGATTTTCGCAAAGCGACGCTCTTAAGTCACCGATAGGAACTTCGGTGTGCAGCGCGGCACT